TTCTTAGTACGGAGAGCGTGCTCCACTTTGTCCACGGCCCTTTATTTTGCGCTATTGTTATCAATACTACGTTCAGAGGGCGCAGGCATGTGTGCCGTTTCACCGACTGGTCTCACCTCACACTCCCATCTTACTCTGCTTTCAGTCTTGAGTTTCGAAAGCCCACCTTGTTGGACAGTGGTGCGCGTCTCAAAGACCGCGCCTGCCTAACTGCTCATGTCCCACGTGGCCAGAAGAGCCAAACGCGCGCTGTCGTCAATGTGTTAAAGTTCTATGGGTTTAGGTGCAAGTAGTTAGGATAGTTAGAATAATATCTGTTTAGACAGCTTTCATAACACATGAGCGCAAGCACTTAAAGGAATCTTCCACGGAAAAAGCTCCGCCCCCATTACCACAGAAAACAATACCTTAAAGGAATCTTCCACGGACCATGGACCAGTGGGCGGGACCGGAAGTGGTTTTGCGACGAAATGCATGGTAGGTACGGATCCACGTTCATGGGAAGGTTTGAAGTGAATCCTGTTCACGTTCGTGCGTTCGACACGTGGATCCGTACCTACCATGCATTTCGTCACAAAAACTTCCGGTCCCGCCCACTGGTCCATGGTCCGTGGAAGATTCCTTTAAAGGAAGAAGATTCCTTTAAAGGAATCTTCCACGGAAAGAGTGATCATTTTGTCTTGTGTGTAGGATTAGTATTATCGAAACTAACGCTTATGTTCCGTTCTTTTTGCTATGCTCATGAGGCTAGGGGCCTAAGGGGTATCGTTTTTCTGTGGTAATGGAGGCGGAGCTTTTTCCGCGGAAGATTCCTTTAACTAGACCATCGATATCTGCAAGCTGTCGAGTCAGTTTTAGCGTTGGTGTATTTTTCAATTTTTAACAATAAAACTCAGAGAGTGTACTGTGCATCGTTGATTTATCACTTATGTAAGTATACGCCACACATTGGATTTCCTGCAAGATCAGGGAGGCATTTGAAGGAAATTGGCTCGGTACAACTTATGTTCGGGACATATTATTATTGAATATTTTTACCTGGCCAATCAGACGTGAATTGTCAGGAAGTTAAACCAAGGTTTGCCCGATTTCAGCAGACGAGCGTCCTTTTCCATGCGTATGCTCGATGCCTTCCGCTATACTCACTTCACCTTGTGGTGTAGATCCGCACAAAATGGATGTTTTTCGTAGTAGAGGATCTTATCGCAATCATGGCACTACATTTGGTTGAAATATGAACTCTGATTAGGGCCTCGGGTTGCGATTGGTTTGCTCTAACCGCCACCCTCGGCCTCCCTCGGACTTCTCCCGGTATGATGAAGTTCCATGTGGGATGGCAGGATGTGTGCTCAGTTGGTGTTTATAAAACAGTTGTAGTGTGTCAACACTCATGGCATTGCGTCAAAATGATATCTCGCACTGATTTTGACCTTACAGTCGCTGGCGGTTAGATTTTCTCGCCTTCCCTCTCTTCCTCCACCCCCACCCCCACCACACTCCCTCTTCTGTCAAATAGTCAGTAACATGTGAAATGGCCCAGGGTGTGCTCAAGGATATCTGTGAATCTTTTGACAGCGTTATCATAGTCATGAGATCACGAAATACGTATTAATAAAATAAGGCCTGCGAACTCCTCAAACTATTAGCGGTTCTCTGTTCCATAATTTGCCCTATTTCTTCATTTCGCATTATTTTTGTGGAGTAACTGGAAAGCATAGCGACTAGCTCACCGATACATACGCTGGCAGTGACATACTTGAGCCACCAAGGTAAAGGTTTATACAGGGTGTGGTAACCGCTTTAAAAGTGTTCTAAAATAGAAAAGAGGACTATACGAGACTTGTGCTTCAGTACGGGAAAGGAAACCGCTCCAGCACACGCTCATTCGCATTCGGTGCGGTTTCCCTCAACTTGTGTCCACTGCCGAAACGAGGGAGGGGTGAGGTGGAGAACAGCATGTTCTGCGCGGTGGAGGTAGTCATCGCCGATTAACCCATTCGTGACAATGGCAGCCACCGGTGGCTGACAAAGATCTCACTCGGGACAATGGTATCCACCGGTGGCTGCCGTGTTTCAAATGGAATTTGGAAAGTTTTCTTTCCTGAAAAGAATCTTCATACCCTCATTCATCTACGCCAGCCCTGGGCAGGGAAATCTCCATCCACTCAAATTTTATTGAAGAAAAATCTCCTGACTCTCCTGCTATTGCGCAATCCGCGCGGTCGCGAATGGGTTAAGTTTCAAGCTCTCTTCCGTGAAGGCTGTACCACCAAGCTTTGAATTTTGTCATAGAATAGTAGGTCTGCCATTTCCAATCAGCCTTGCTGGAGTTGTCTCATGAACTTTACATCCGGCCATGGGTTTTGGCTGTATGAGGCAACAGGGCTCCATTCATAAGTTCTCGTCTTCTCTCGTCTTCGTCAGTGCGTTCAGGCCAGCGGCTACGGCATGGATTTTAGAGACATATAAGTGCTTTTGTTGATAACCTTCACACAGAGTACAGTTAGTGCTGCCATGTTCTATTCTTCTCGCTACGGGCGTGTTTTCAGGGTGAATACTCTGACCCCATGTGATAGAGAGATAATAGAGGGTTCTTCATTTGTGAAGCTTGGCAAAGCGATCTCCTGTTCTAGTGACTAAGAGCATACTTCCGAAAAGCGATTTTCATTGTTGCTATTTCAAGTAGCCACGAATATTATGTCAAGAGATACCTATTTAGAAAATGAGCGTCTCGCTTAAACATTTCGGCAGTTATTAAGCATGCCCGATAGGGTGACAGGATGAGAGGTTTTCTTCTA